TATCCTTAGCTTAATAGTTTTTAGGGTAAATCTACAAATAGAATGGTTTATTGATGCAAATATCATTCAAAGTAATTTCTATTCCACTTACCTTTTTTACTACTTCTTGTTCTAATAAAGTAGATACCAAGCCTAGCATGACTAGCTAACATTAAACTGTGTAAGGTTTTCATGTAATATTTTAGCTTCGAAAAATATGATTCATGATTTGCTATCAGCTGATCCCAAATATTGACAAAAAAATGTGTTGTCGCTAACTATTTATTTTTATTATTATAAATAGGGTTAACTAAACAGTTCACTCTTTGATAAACACGAGTAAATATACATTATCATGACCAGAAACTTAATTCTAGTATTAAACATCTAACGTTGACTGTAATGTGACGATATCGTATTGTGACCGAAAGTTGAATCAGTATTCTATTAGCCTTAGTAACACTTTATTACAAGAATACCTTTTATGACATTTTTGAGATCGAGAGTAGACCGGAACTAGATTTTGAACGAATTTTTATTGGTAGACCACCTCATAGGTAAAAGCTAGGCGCACATCATTAATAACGGTCACTCGAGTGCTGTTCGAGGTATCAATAACATTGGTGTCACTATTATTTGACGAATTTGTTAGTTATGGCAATAGTGGTGTAATCATAGCTAACATTTGCATAATGCATATTTTACTACTTATAAACTCTGTACTGATCATTAAAAACAAAGGTATTTTTTCGTATTTATTTAGGAAAAAATTAAATTAACATTAAACATTCTGACTACAGCACTATCTTGGTGTATTAAAAATACTTCACTTCACGTGAGTTATCGACACTTAAATAACAAAAATCTTTTCGCATTCCTCACAAGGCTTATCAAGTTAGTAGCGAAGAGCCACTTCCTTTACCCCAGGTTCTGAACAGAAGCTCACTGTGACTTATGTTTCATGTCTGACATTGCCGTTAGTCCAAAGTAAGCTCTGTAACTCTTGTCATTCAGAAATAAAGTATGTACACATCGCTGCTAAGTACTTTTTGCCCGTTAGACAGGGGTTCGTAATTCGTAGGTTTTTGCTAAGACATCGCAGAAACTCTTCGCTGGATATTTTGAGTTCTTATGCCCAGGAGTCTGAGTTTGTATGAAAACAAAATGGAAATTATATCAACAGCCGACTTCTTTCAAATCTCGAACGATGCACATGTAAACCGCTAAGGTAAGGCAGGTACAGATACCTACACTTTCGGGAATAAAAGAAACATCCAAATGTTTTAATGGATCGGGTAATATGTAGGTAGTTTTAAAATATTTATAGTCATAATTAATATAAGAACGTAAATTAAAAAAACGCCTTCTAATAATCAACATTATGATAAATAAAACCAATCTACATGATCAAATATTAATAATTTATTACTCTTAAATATCAAAATAGTTACAACTAAAAGTTATATTCGAATACAATAGATACAATAAAATATATCTTACATGATTTGATTGATGCTAATATTCAATTTTGAAATAATTTACTGCTAAAAAAATTATTTTTGTACAATTACAATACTTTTCTGACAATCAATATGATGGGATGGATCTAATAAAATACATTTCCAATTTACCTCAATGTTTTATCTCTATATATATGATAAGTAATATACATGTTGTGACAATGTACATAAGCACTTGAGTAAAAAAATGTTAAACTTAAAAAATAATCTTTTTGTACCCTCTAAATCAAAATTTGCGCCATTCGAATTTCAAATTAGGCGCAATGTTTTTTTTTAAAGGATTCCTCACAAATGCGCTGGTTTCAAATTAAGCGTCTAGGTAGTCTTACAATATTGTTTTAAAACGACAATGTTCATACCAAAGTAATAGATTAAAAAATTCTAACGCTGCTAGTTGAGAGTAGAGAAAGAAATGTTTATAATATGTTTATAACGATGGCCAGAGAGAGCTTATATATTATTATTACCAAATAATAGTACTTTACTTGGTTTGTGGCTCCCCATCAACGTTCTTATAACAAAATGATATTTACTAATTCAACAACTAGCAACATGATTATTAATGCTCTATGGCGTGACTAATAAGCGTGGTTAGGAACAAAAAGGCCGGCATCGGCTCCCACACCTGTAACGGATCCCCCCACGTATTTGCCCAGACTCGCTTGACCGTTAGCCTGAAAAAGAAACAAATAATCAATTAACACATATTCAGTAGTCGATTACGGGAAGAAAATTAATGATCATATTCGGTAGTCGATTATGGGAACAGAGTATTGGAAAAATATTTTAGCATTAGGTACGTACACCTCTAAACCGAGTACATATTTTTATTAAGAGGCCAAAATTGTCTATTAAAATTAATAAATATTAATTCTTTAAATTAGTCATTTAAGCAATTTAAATATTAGACATTTGATTTATTTTCTTCTTCTTGTATTCATGTTCTAGAATAGTAGTATTTAATAAACTACCTCCGTCAATGGCCTCCGTCCACTAGGTTAAACCCCCTCAGGGATTTATTTGGATTTTTGTCCACACCAATCCCCTAGGGTATCTGTTTGGCATTTTTATCTATTTAGGGTATTTAAGCAGGGTATCCTAGTGGACGGAGGCCTTCAATGTCATAACGTGTCATATTTTAGTCAGTATCAAATTTCGTTATTCTAATAGTGTTGTGGTCAGTGTTCTCAAAGTTGGATTGCATCGTAATATGTGAAATATGTCTTTTAACTTGGGTATAACTATCGAAAATAAGGCTTTAAATAAATATATAAACTTGACGAAATTTAAAGCCGAAAATGTTATGTTAACACCATCTACCGGATTTAAGCTATTCAAGTTTGTCGTTCCTATCATGGCATGAGTTCAGTGACTCACCTTTCTAATTAACGACTGAAAACTAGGTTCTGATTTGGAACCATCAAATATTCATAGATGTCGCTGTTTTGGCCTATTATAACCAAAATTACATACATAGTAACATCTTCTAATCAAGTATTCAATTATTATTGTCGACATTGAATACAACCAACCAACCTACTCACTCTTTTTTTTAAGTATATGAATTGAGACCATTTAATTGAAACCATTTTATGTGTTATCTGTTCAAATTTGTTCGTAGGTACATTTCATTAAAGTTCTCGTCACGACATGAGTCGCGCTATTCTGTAACTTTCATGTTACTGTACCTACCACCCAAAATATTTGAGATCGCAGCCGTTACTACTTTCTATACTCAATCGCGATCTAATCAAGCTCGTCAGTTAACGTCGTGGCACTCCTGGTCACTAGTGTAAAGTTTAATTTAGTCACTCAAAATCTTAGTTAAAAACTTAGTTAAGTTTGTAACTACGAAACCAGCTAATATAATGTTCTTATACAACATTAGCCTGTTTCGTATTGACTTACACAACGTCATAGGAATGCTAAAAGAGTTAAAGCATTCTAACCTGTTTTAAAAAACTAAGTACCTCTCAATAGTTTGGCTTCGATCATGAAAGACATTGAAATAAGTTGTAATATTTTAAAATGATAATTAAAAACGATCGAGGGCGTCCCTTAATCGTCAAATATCATCCATAAATTACGTCACACGTTAGGGAGGGCAGGGTGGAAGTCGGCGAAGTGTGACATTGTGTGACAAGGGGTGGGAGGGTCCTAAGATTTGTGACGTCACGTTTCAAAACCTAATATATCTAAGTATCAAAACGCGAAATCAGTTTTATACAATTTTACTTTTTTTATATTTTCCAAATTTTGCATTTATGTTGTTTTTTATTTATAATACTACTATAAAGTAGCAGTTCCAAAGTTAGTTTTAATAATTTCTAGATGAAAAATTGCAAAATATGTGATGTCAGGTGTGGGGGAGCCTAGCCGAGCATAAATGTGACTAGCTGTGACAAAGACGGTGGGAACATTGAAATTCGTGTCACGTAATTTATGGATGACCCCTAACATCTAATACGAATATTTTCATCTGACTTTCGCTCGCAAATTAAAAAGTTACAGTATTACTATTAAACAAAACATTACACTACTATACATATACTTACCTAGTCTAAAACTAGACAAACTATGAAAAAACAATAATCTAACTAAGGGAAAAACCTACATTGCCCTGAGACAATGTTTGAGACTTGTTATGTTTCATAATAAAGCTTAGCGTTATTTTATTGTCGTTAAATACAGTATTGACTTTCACTTAACCATGAACTAATCATGTTAGAACACGTTAGATTCATTTTTAGTGTTGTTGTTTAAGCAACTTTTTTAATGTATAAAGTAATTTCGGCAAGGCTTCTTACTCGTAACTGTTAAGAAACATCAGAGTAGTATGTATAAAAGGTGAAAAAAAAAAACAATCACAATACAAAAATAACGTTTTTATTTAAACAGATAAGCAAACACAACAAGCCAGGTGAGGATGGTTTACTAGGATATATGCAAGCATTTACTGTAAGTACATGCAAACTATTCCTAAACAAAGTTCGATTTCAGTTGTACTGCTGTACGATGATGTAAGTAATTATACCAAATGCGTTACAAATGCTTTGAAATTCTGGTATTTAATATTTCATACAACACTACAAATGAAAATTACAGATGGAAATAAAAGAAAACACGTCTTTTAGTGTTTCTAATTGATGTATGTACTCATAACATAAAAACAAATGCTTTTTCAAACATGATTCAATACAAAATGCAAAAATATAATTTGATGAAAATAAAAATAAAGCTTGAACAATAAAAACAGAAAAAAGTTAATCAATAACATTTGCGTCGTTTCAGTTTAAAAATTGAACTGAAAAGTAGGCAATAAAAAGCTATAAATACTATAAAAGTTTAATAAAGGGTTATAACTGTCATTATATACCCAGTAGTATTTTTAGCCAGAACAGGTCCTGGCTAAAAACACCGCAATAGTTACGCAGTCTATCCGATAGTATATCTTTGCAAACTGAACATATAAGATGGGTATATCAAAAGGCTATATTTTTATTAGTATGCATGTGCCTTAACAAAGTTAGATTTACTTGAGGCGAGAGAAGGAATAGAGCCCGCCTCGTACTTGCCAACGCAAGCCAGACCGTTAGCCTGTATGTCACAATTTGGCAAAATAATAGTATTCGAATTTAGATTTTCAAATTTAGAATCCGACGAACACGTGATTGGTGAGTAGGATGCGCCGACGTATCGTTGAATTGAGGCAATGTGGAATTTTGAAGTTAAAAAAAAAACACAAATTAGTATAAATCTATTTGGTAAAAGTACGTCATAACATGTAGCTAGTATGATATTAACAGTGATAATAATCATTTATTTTGTATTTATGTAACAGTTTTTTGTACCATAGAAATAATACTAGCTACATACGATAAATTTATACAGACTAGGAGCCAATGCACACCGACAGAACGTTGTGACGACAACAAACATTATGACAAAACACAAATATTTTTTATTTCCTTTTCTTTCTTTTCCGTTTGTATAATTGCGATTATATTTTATTTTTTTCATAAATGGGCAAACATGCTTCATAAATAAAATATCGGTTGCGATTGCAAATTATACAACTGATTACTAGTATGAACCTTAGGTGTAATGGTGTGTTGAGTAATTTTATTTTAAAATAGATATGTTGGCGACGACATGTCGGCGGAGTGCATTATTTCCATAACTAGCTCAACAAACAATATAGTGAACACAAAGACAACACAAACATACAAACATGCATACTCTGTACAATTAAGAACATTTGACTTCCGAACTATTTCTAAATGAACTAAATGTAAAATGAATTATGTTTCTGAAGGAAACTCGCACAGTGCCTACTGTATTTAATTTTATATATATTCTTTTTACTACTTAGTAGAATACTACTGAAAATAGCTACTATAGTCTGTTTTTTTAATCTCGTAGACTAAACTGACATTACGAGTGTTGTCAGTTTATTGCAATTCTTAAATAGTGATGTGGCACAACCGAAACTTAGCGTTAATAAAATCAAGTATCGTTTTTTTACAATAAGTTATCCTGAAATAATGTGTTTATCCTGAAATAATGTGTAGGTACTTATTTAAAACGTAATAATACAAAATTAATAATGTAAAACATATATTTTAAATTGAATAACTTAATTCGCGTTAATCTGATTCAGATAATGACTCCATGTCTGAGGAATATTATGAGTCATCAGAATCGCCACCTACTTCTATGATAAACCTATCAGTAATGTCGTCGGTTATATGGCCCAGATGACACATTTGATCTTCAATTTTAATTACATGGACTACACAGTCTTTCCACCGCTGCGGGGTCACTTGACGAAGCCCTTCTTCAAAAAGGCTTCGTACTTCATTCATTTTGAATGTTTTATTATTTTTAGTGACATGCCCCTTTACTTGAGCCCAGACCAACTCAATCGTTCGAATTACGTATTCGTACAATTGTTCGTATGGTGTCAAGTTCCATAATTGCCGTATTTTTTAAGTTCTGCCGTTTCGTAAGAGAAAATGGCGTCTATAATTTTTTTTTTGTTTAATCTAAAGGCATCGAAGCATGGTCGGGTTACGCATGGCGTTGCGTGGTCAGATTTCCCTGGCAGTTTGTAGCACGTCGTGCAGCCGTGTGTACGTACGTGAATTTTAATGTAAAACTTTGAATGAAAATTAAATTCGTCTATTATAAATAAAAAGTTACGATTCAACTAACCGGTATCGTAGGTACAACACTGCACAAAAGAGCTGGCAACATTATTTGTAAATTTGACATTTGCATGTGTCAATTTAGTCTACGAGATTAAAAAACAGGCTATACAATATACTGCATTTTATGGACAAATATATCTCAAATATACCTTAGTAGGTACTATTATAAATAATCTACAAATTAATAAGCAAATAAAACCAGCCGATCGTCAATGGTTCTAATTCAGCGTTTACAGCCTCAAAGAACTACTCTTGCCCTTAGGACCTTATGAAATTCTTGTAAAAACCAAAACAGTGTAGTCTTTTAAAGTGTAACCTCCCTTATTGTAAATTATTTTGTCATATCCTCACTTATTTTCAAAGAGTGAGGCCTGTTGCGCCAAGTTTAATGCAGTAGATATCAACTCTCAGATGCTTATGTGTACTTAGAGGACCTACCGACTATTTGACCTCCAAACCTGATGTAAGCTTTCAAAATCCCTTGCATACATCTCCTATTTGCTATGTACACATCAAACAAATAATATTCACCTTAGCACGCTTCAAAAGTTCGAGTTGTCCCGCGGTTATGTTCTCATTTTTGCCAGCCCATGCGCGGAGGACGGAGGCCTGGAGAGCACGCCCATAGGAGAAGGTGAGCACCCACGGCCTCTTTATGTCCACGGTGTTGATAGCGTTTAGGTTCACGGAGGCCTCTTCCTCAGACTGACCGCCAGACAGGAACGTGATGCCTATCGATGATATCAAAGATAGTTTATGACACAGATTAAGATGAAAGTTTAATTCCTCGTTTTATTGAATAACTATACGAAGAAGAAACGCAATAATAACTTAAGACACCTTACATCGTCATCTGATACCAAACTAGGCGCAGACTGTTCTATTGTAAACAGACTGATGATAAACATCCTTAAATGTTACTAAATACATACATATCATAGGTAAATTCACCCAGAACAAATGACCATAATACGATCATTTTTGAATTTGAACTTGAACCTCTGGATCAGCGGTCTGGATCACTAACGACGCCGGGACGAACAACACCAAACAAGCCCTCCATGCCTTGTATTTGACAAATAACGACACTGTAGAGCAGGGATTCCCAAAGTGGTATTTTGTACCAATAGGAAAAAAGTAGATATACGATTTTTAATTTGGCTATGGGGGTGTGAGGTATCTTATCCCCATAGCCATAGCATTCATTTTGGCGAACGGGGTCGTCTCTTGCGAAAAATTGTTTGGGAATTCCTGCTGTAGAGCAATTTCTCACCAACAGGACTGAATAATAGTGAGATCCTGATTAGTTTCTTGTTTTATATGTTTACCAATCTATTTCGAAAAAACAAACAATTTTTGACGTTGAAAGATTAGAGATACTATTTCAGATGGGTGGCTAGATCGGAAATCTGGAAATTAGTTTCAATTGCTCATCATGGGTAACTTACCGGGAACTGCAGCAGGTACTGTCCTGAGTAAAGCAGTGCAGGTAGCGCGGCCGATGTCCATAGGGGTGTAGGTCTTCTTGCACGCCATGCCTGCTGTCACCTGCACAAGAGGTAATTTCGCAAAAATTTGAAAATAATTCAATTAATAACAACTAGTTGAGGAAATCCTATCTAAGGTACCTAATTCTAGTCTCAATGTCAACCATCTTAAATAAAGCAAATGAAATATAGGTGCATAAAGATTAAGAACTCAGAATAAATAAATTGGTTCAACCTCTACAGTAGTTGACCTTTGGGTTAATAACGTCAAAACTGTATATTGTTTTGAAATTCGTAAGTTGTTTTTGTTAATAATTGACCTGACTAATACCTAATAATAAACAGGCAAATGATGGTTGCACATGTTTATGCGATTGTACTGGAACGAATGGGACTAATTTTGTCTTGCAGAAACAGCATTCCAGTTCCATGGAACTACAGGGAGAAGAAAATCCCAGTAGTACCATAATAGAACTAGAGAATGGAACTACTGGGATCAGAACAATAAACAATGTGCCTAGTCAACTTCAAAATTATGTAATGTTTCTTGATGTTTTTACCTGACAAACTAGTTAACTAGATGTTAAGCCGGAGCTACAGGAGACCGAAAAAAAAACATGGCTACCCGCTAAAATGGCAGATCAGAGCTTAACACACTTCATTCACGTTCATCTTTATTTTCATGTTGTTTGTTGGTTAATTGGGGACCTAGTGGGGAAAATTTCCCAGTTGAGAACACTAGTATTATCCATTTTCAAATCCATATTTCCCATTTCAGATTACTACTGTAACGATGTTTGGATAGAGGCCACCCATCTACCTTACACACATGCAAGAGTCGGGTGCTTTTAACTAAAACAACTTCTTTTGCAATTGCAATTACAAATTGGTCTTTAAATGCTATATTAGTAGAGGATAACTATATTAAACTCACCATGTTGGGCTTAAGAAGAGTACCTTCGAGGTATACGTGGTGGTCACTCAACGCCTTGTAGACGGCAGCCAAGACAATCTCGGTCACCTTCTGGGCGCGGTCAAGGTCATGTTCACCTGAAATGCATTGTACATTCTTATTAAATGAAAATTATGGCAAGAAAGATAATATAAAGGCAATAGGTTTTTCGTAGGGTTGTTAGCATGAAAAGCAATTCATATAAAGTAAATAAGTAACAAAAATTGTTTCAGTAGTTCAGAAGGAATTTTGACTCAGTCTGTCATCTCTGTCTATCATTGTTTAGTATAATAGTTTTTTTTTGTTTTAAGATAACTCCCGCACTAGAAATACGTCCTGTGTCGCGAAGAAACGGCAAGGTGACTGCTAAAACCACTTCGCCTTCCGTGATGCAGTCGATTTTGCTTTACTAACTTTAATCTGTCGAGCTTAAGCACTAGGATAAAATAGGTGTGGAGTAGTATCATTTACCATCGGGCAGCACTTCGGGTTCAACGATAGGCACGATGCGCTGACTCTGGCAGATGGAGGCATAACGAGCCAGAACATTGGCGTTCTCCATGATCGCCTGGTAGGATGGTGTGAAGCGTCCGATCTTGATCACGCAACGCCACTTGGCGAAGTGGCAGCCATCCTTCTTGTACTGGGCGCAACGCTGGGCGAGGTCATCGAGACCTAATAGACAAAACAAAGATAGAAGGTGAATCGCGGTAAGGAAAATTGAAGGCCAGGGAACTAGTCTTACTCATCTTCCTACACTTCCTAATTCATGCCCTGATGTCACCACTTTTAAAAGACAATTTTCAGAGGGTCGAGCCGAATGTCATCTAATATTACTTTGGGGAGAATGGGCGTTTCGGAAAAATTTCACGTAATTTTTATAAATAAAATTCCGAGAATACTGAGTTAAATTAAGTAAAACATGTTCCTCCACGTAAAAATATGGGCAAGTCTTGGTATTACGAAAGTCGCGAAGTTGCACAGTAGCCCATCCGTATTTATCTAATGCAGAAAGTATTAGATAAATACAATTGTTTAAAACTGTGTAACTAAAAATTTTATAACTAAATAGTGTCGAATACGATATAAATTCAATAAGCGCTAATATGTTATTTTGAAATGTCAAAAGATAGTAAATTTAAGATAAGTAACACTTAAGTGTTTGCCGTTAAAATGTTTTCCTGCTTTTTTATCTTTTATCTAAATATTATAGTATTAACCATTAGTTTAGGTATATGTTTACGGTGTCGACAAAGCAGTTTTTACGTTCCGTTTCACGTGATGACGTTGTTTTGTTATGATTATAACGATGACAGATGAAACTCCTGGTTGTTGTTTGTCAAAACAATAACATGAATGAAAGCGCCATAACCTCACCGTCCGTTAGGCTGTTTCAAGTTTTCCTTCTCTTTGCAGTGCTCTCACTCGTCCGTGTGGTGACGGATTAAGATTACAGAATGTCACCACCCTATTTCATCCCGTGGATGTCGTAATAATTTTGGCATAAATAACAACTCATCTCGTTTATAACACGTAATATCATACATACCTACCAAATAAAGAGTTTATTTATTATGCTTTTAAGCTTTATTTAATAAACTGATCACCAAAAAAAATCTATACGCTTTGTCATGCGTAAAGAAAAGACATAGCAGGCTATCTTTAATTATTTAATCTCTAAAGAAAGTAGTATTGACGTGGTATACCAGAATTGATACACAAAATCATCATTAACTCCAGCAAAGCAGCGGACTGAAGCTAGTGGGGTTCTAACTGAAAAGTAATGGAGGAATCTGGTGTGCGAAATCGGGTGTTCAATACTCTAAGCTTCAATTTTAACATTTTGATATCATAATGTTTGTTTTTAGGATATATAAAGAAAAATAAATATGCTGCAGAAACATCTGTTCTCATCAATTCGAGTATGACCTATTTCTTAGCGTTCTATGGCTTCACCTTGCGGGTTCCTGGTCCATCGCGTGATAGATGGGGGCAACACATGAGCCTTCTACAGCGCCTGGGACTTGCGACCCAGGTGTAGGTTAATAGGTTTAGGGAGTACTCCTTGCGACGCATCAGCACTCACCTCCACTGTCTGCTGTGTTCCCTCCCTCTACCTAACCATATTTGATACGAGCCTAGCAATGCAGCTTTGGATATTCGTTCAAGAAAAGATCTTACTGAAGCACTTGACAATCCAAGGTCTTTAAGCAGGTTATAGAGGGATTTACCTGGTATACCTCTCGCACCCACTGCTACGGCATGCTACGCAACGACATGACAATTTTTAGTTATTTCGTTGGTTAAGTTAAAGTACTTGTTTCTTTTTAAAGCGTGGTCTTTGGGGATGTTTGTTTTTCACGGCACCGTGAGTTGTACTAGTACTACACGCTTAATTGAAATTGTATAAAGAAATATGTCTGGTCTGGAGGCCGAGGCACAGATATCCTCCGGTATTCTGTAATGATGTTCATACGTGCCCCCTAATAATTCCCAGTCACTGGCGGTATTTATAATTGAGTACGGCTTTTGTGAAGTCTTTTTTGTTGAGCCTTCCTTCACAAACGCGATGTTAGTTCTTATGTTTGTTATTATTAATTTTTTCACTCTCGCCAGCGATAAACTTAAAGCTTCGCGTATGATTTGAAATACCCTATCATGGCGACGTGTATAATGAGCCCGGTCTAATAGCGCCTTACAACCTCTCAGTAAGCGCGAAGAACCCACTCATTCGAAATACTACATTACTACGTTTACAGTAACATAGGTAGGTAATGGTTGAGAGGTTGTAGTAACTACTTTTTTCGAAATCTAAAAATTATGACATAGGTAAATAGGTACATTCAATATTTAATTTAATTTACATCAGAAATAAGTAGAGATATTATCTAAATTTGACATCACTTGCAGATAATAATTAAAATTGGCGATGATAATTAAAAGTATTATTTGGCTGATAAGTACTCCAAGTACATATTATTTTGGGGGCGTGGATGCCTATCGTGACGATGTTACTTAAATATTTCTTTTAACATAAAAATTTAAATATTGAATAAATGTACCTGTGTAGGTACATTTATTCGATATTTACTTAAGTATAATGAGCTAAAAAGAAATAAGGATATAATTATTTGCTTATATCCTTTTTCTTTCTTTGATAGATTCAGGCTTGGACCTGAAATCGAATAAAGTTATGGGTATTTTCGGTCGACGGTCCTTTTATCCATAAAAGGCCCCGTATGTCCTTTTCTGTACCCTTAAGTGTATACAAAATTTCACGATGATAGGTTAAGTAGTTACGTACGTGAAAATGTAAGAAACAAACAAATATAGAAGTTAAGATTTAAAAATAAAATGTTTTGACAGATAACGGATCTACATGTCAGCTATATGAACTTATTTGCGATTGCGCAACGATCAAAGTTCCATATGAATATCGGACGTTCTACACGATAAGGCGTGTGTGTTGGCCCCTTGGATCGTCAAATCGAAACGACGCTAAGAAGGTCATATACATAATAAAGTTCAACGTCATGTTGATGTACATCACGTCTTCATCAAAGTTGGTACCGACTTTGACGAGGACGCATTAATTATTACCACGCCTATTTTTTACTCTAGTAATCATCGTAGAGATAGATATTCGGTACACTTCTTTTTTGATTTTTTATCTTTGGATAAATGAGATAAGCAGAAAGGAACATATACTGTATATCTTGGATATGGAAACAGGAATGATACTGCAGTAATCCACAAAAGGCCGGGATTAGCGTACCAGTAAGACCGTCTAATGTAATATTACCGTGGTCTTTCATTTAAAGGGACCACTCGGAAAAGGACACCTTCCCGTCAACGTCAAAAACGTCTGGCCCTAAAACTTTACTTTACAAAAAGTCGAAATCTGGATCGAAATTTCTTAGTCGGTGCCTCAAATTTATACTAACGGGGAACAAAATCCACTAACTTTGCAAAGGGAAATTAAAGCAATAATGCAGTATTTGGCAACGTAATCGATATTATAAGCAGCCCATTACCATAGACATTTCCGAAAGTCCTTCTACCATAATCGTTCTACTAACGATAAATTAGGTGGCATTTCAATAGTCTAGTTACAACGATATTTACCATCTGTATTTACAGAATATCTTTGTTTATTTCAACATTGTTAAATAATGCCATAGGAATTTTAGGTTACAATAATTAAGTATAAGTACTTCTGGCTAAACGCCATTAGTATGATATAAATAAAATACTTCGAACGTTATGCGAGACTAGTATCGAGTGGTGACAACGCTTAATACTAGCTCGCAACGTCATACGTTTTTAAGTGTAATTGTTGTAAATGGTTCAATCAAAATTGTACAGAGGCCATCAGATTTAAGTTTAAATTCCTTTGATTCATAATAAGTGAAAGTTTAATTTTGTATGTATTCTATTATTTAGAAGGCTATTTAAATCAGCAGGAAATAGCCAAAAAAGAACTAAGTTTCCTTATAAGAAGGTAGCATTATATTATGTAAAATAAGTATGTGATGTTACATTTCTTAAAATTTGTACAAATATTTAGTTCTTATATAATAAAATATTATTTTCTTTAAAATTCTGTTACTATTTACTAAGTTTAATAGCAGACTTACCCTGTGTGGTACACTCGTCATCACTTCCAAAGAGAGGCACGACGCCCTTGTCTACCTTGATGCCAGGGATGATACCGCGCTTCTCCAATAAGCTGACCAGGGGGGTACCGTCGTCAGCTTTCTGGTATAGAGTTTCGTGGAATAGGATCACACCAGAGATGTTTTCCGACAGAGCCTGAGTTGAAAAAAAATTGCGATTTAGTAACAGATATCGTAAATAACTTCCATAGATTATATGATTAAATTATTTTTAATATTTACCATTTTTATAATATAAATAAATTATGCATCTAATAATAGCAATGCATTTCAATTTACAAATTTTCTTAATTTAATCATCATCAGACACTACCTTAGAAAGTCATGGAAAAGAGGTTAATGATAATTCCTTCGTGAAGTGGAGAATAACCAGGGCCCCAATTCCGCTATTTTAATATTGTATCAATAGAGTGTCGATGGAGTGTCGTCGGAATAGTTTGGCACTTTTCGTAATCTGCTAATTAAATAAAGACCAATGGCCTCCCGATGACTTGTCACTGATACAAAATGTTTTCGATGTCTGTTCAATAGTTTGCTAAACGGTAGTCTACAAGTGTTTGACAGAATTGACAGTTGTTTCAATGACACCACGATGGCTTCAGAGTGAATAATATTGTTGTTAAACTATCATTGATCTGCCATCAAGCAGTCACTGCTTTTTTGAGAGTGTTATGTGCGTATTTAGTTATTTACGTTAATTCAATAGATAAGTAATTAAAGTGCGTAAACAAAAATGCCTCAACTTGCAACGGAGGCAAATATTAGAAGCTGCTTACAACGAAGATCGTCGAATTAAAGAGGTTTGAAATCGCCGATGAGCTCGTGGTTTGTCGAGACAAAGTGGTAAATATTAGACATAATATGCGAGGACACATTTATAAAAGTGTTTAGGCTAACAAAAAGCCTTATGGAGAAGATATCAGCATTATTCCTTCAGACAAAGGTAAAGTTAATAATATGAAAACAAATGTTCTATTGGTAATTTATGTTTCAGTTAAATTAACTTTACAGTTTTCTGATATCTACTTTGTATTTCAGCTTCTGATAGCATTTTAAATGCCAGGATCATATTAAACCAAAGTGCATTCCAAAATGTTCACAAACTATTAGACAAGTGACCAAGGCATTGAATCATCCGACCATCATACATAATCATCAAGAAAGAAATGACATAAATGCCAAGTAAGTATATACCTTTAACATTTTAATTTATCTAAGTGGAACAACTTACAAGACAATATCTATAATAATTATATCTTAATAAAAATTTTAAGAGACAATAAAGCCGGTGCCTCTTATCTATAATATTTCATAATGAATAAAAAACTATTAAATCCCATAAAACTTTACCTAAGAGATGATTGCCTCTTGGTGACATATGTAATGAAGGCTGAAGGGTCAGTGTTGACAATGTACACCTACCTATTAAATTAAATGTTTATTTTTAACAATTTATTTATAAGTGATCAATTTTTCAGTTTACTTAATGTTAACAATAATTTATAGGTATGTGATTCTGATCTTAACATCATGTGTGTCCGGGCCAATATCCCTGATGCAGCCCATGACTCCGGTAATCCACAGCCAACACTTAATGGGTTTAGCTGGTCCCGGTGAAGATCATTCATTTTTAGCAGGTGAGTACATGGTACTTTATGATGGTAGTTACCTACCTAATAACTTTGACTAAAACAAAATAAATTCATTTTATTTTGGTTTAAGCTTAATACCCTATTTGTTGGAATAACATGTACTAGTCTAGAAACCATTTGTATAATATTTCAGTTTTGTATTAGTCAATTAGTAGCCAAGTAGTTTTAAAAATGGATTGTTATTATATTAAAGAATTTATTACAAAATGTTAAAATTTCTTTGTGATACACCTTGTGCAAGTGGTTGATCACTCCAGCTTTAAACAACATTGAAAGAACTGCAGAGCATTACTTTTATAATTTGCATGTCACCCAATACTGTTGAGCGCTGTATTGGGATGTTTAAACACTACAGACACTGAGTTCACATATTGATGAAATTTACTCTATCAAATGAATCTATCATGACAAATTAACTCTATCATGTTTTTTGACATATTAATAATAATAATTATAGATTTTAAAGCAGCGGCTCAAAGAATGAAATGCTTATTATTTTGTGTGCTATCAAAAAAGGAAAAGTAAAAGAAAACAACATAGTCATTAAATTTTTTTTTATTTAAGGGACAGCTATAGGTCATGGATGTTACATTTCTGAAAAAAAAAGAGAATGTTACTACAACATATAATTCACAATATTTATTTTCAGGCTTGCTGCTCAAGTACTTCACTTCCAAATATGGCAAGGGCACATGCACAACATTTGGCACACCTTCTAAATGTTTCCCCAATATCTCGGTCCATAATATAATATAACCACTCTTATAGTGGTGTCAAGGTGATGAGAGTTGCTGGGCCATGTCCTGAAAACAATGAAGATCATCTTAGGAAAACAAAATATATTATACTAGTTTCACAATAAAAGTTATGTATATTTACCATTGTTATTATTTTATTTTTATAAAGTTCATCACAGATATTTGTTTTTTATTTTCTCAATGTTCTTTGCTTTTTAATTTGTATTTTTTATAAACCTCAAAAGAATAAAATAAATATTTACTTTTAATAGGATATTATTAAAATAAAGAAAGCCTGTTGAAATTAGCAGACAACGTAGTGGACTATTTGCCCTAACTTATTTCGTTATGGCCTTCTCATAAAGAAAGAGATTGGTGGAGGGGTGCCTAGAAGAATAGAACAAATGTAAATTAATACTCACTACTTTCTACTCTGGCAGTCAAGCGAAACACCATATATTTGCGCACTCCGTCCATAATCGCTTCGCCAGACTGCATCCTTTCTTGAACCAGGAACATCAAACGCATCTAATTGTATCTCACTCGCCATTTCTGCAACGAATTTAGGAGTTTGAATTACAAAAATTCAAAGTAAAGACAATGATGCACTATGAAGTGTTAAACTATAATTTTATTAATATATTTGATTGCAGAAATAGATAATACAATTTTAAATAATCCATAACATCTAAAAAATACGAAAGTAAGTACTTACTATTTCTTTAGAAAGCATTTTAAATTTGCTGGTCCGTTAATGATAGATAAGTCAGTGACACTTTTTTCATTTGGCAATAGCACTTACAAACAGCCAACGATAATTTTATTAATTACGGTGTATTATGTCGTTGTAGTTTATACATTTTTAACAATAAATATGATAAATTCATAACAACTTCATGTACCAAAATAAAAAAAACGGAATACATTTTCAAATTATAATTAAATGATTTATTTATTTTTCCAAACATGGCAATCTTTTTGATATCACCACTGATGAGCCACTACCATTCCATTGCCATTGTAAAGACACTGAGTTAGTGCAGACTACCGAAAATTAATACCGATGCCAATGGCCACTCGATGGCCTCTCAATAGCGTGTCAGTGGTATGACACTGGCTTGTCGTAAACATAAAATAGCAGAATTGAGGCCCAGTTCATTTAACTTGTAAGGGCATAAATTTTGCACATTTTGCATTATAAGCTATAAATCTGGTTACTTTAAATCCAGCTAAGTCGACTCGAATTTCTTTTCTTTGCTGCAGTAGCGTTACTCCAGCAGAATCTTGAATGTATATGTAAACATATTTATAAGGCTTTGACTCGAGACTTTCAAGTCCATTGATACTAATTGTGTCTTTCTCAGGGGGGCAACATTCGTGGGTTGAGCAGAGGCGAGACCTCGTGGCGGCCATCGGAGTGGAAGTTCTCTCGCTCGATAGCCTGATTGCGGCTATCGTGCGGAGCGAGAGTGCGTGGAACTCTGCCGTCTCCTTCTGCGAGCAAGTTATGCTCGCGAAGGAGACGGCGGAGCGGGACCGGGAGAGGTTTAGGACTCTCCCGGCCCGCCAGGCCCGGGAACGGGCCAGGTACCGCAGGCGACTCAGGCGCCGGAGGTCGCAGAACGACCTCCGTCCTCCATAAGCGCAGGCCTGGGGGTGACAGGTGAGGCCATTTGTCACCCTAGCAGAGGCAGGCCGGGGTGGCGGCGAGCGCGTTGCGAAGCGCGCTCGCTTCCAGGGAGCACTGGGAACATGGGGTTCCCACACAGGGGGGGTCGTCTACTCGTCTGTAGATGACCCGAGGTATGTCGGGTACCAGGGACTTCCTTTCTAGGGTATACCTGGTTCCCCGGCTATTAGTACCCGAGACGGCGTGCGGTTTTAGTCGGTTCGAGTCCGACATGCCACCGACAGGTGGTATCCGAGGGGATTTCCGCACGGCAAAAAAAAAAAAAAAAAAAAACAACATGGGCATGGGGCAACATGAAACCAGTTCACAAACGACTAATTCTGGTTGTACAAGGCTGTTCATTTATCTACATATATATAAAAATGAATCCCTATTTCCTTTGGTCACGGCATCAAGCGTGAACGGTTGGTTCGAATTGTAAAAATCCTTTAGTGTTGGATAGCCTTTTATCGAGGAAGGACATAGGCTGTATAACATCATGCTAGGACCAACAGGAGCCGAGTATCAATGAACAATGTTGCGAAAACGAACTTTTAAGAGAAGCAGACAAAAGAATAGCACCTTTGCATTTTTTCTTTATATAAATCATTCTAATCTAAGTACTTGCACACGCTTTTATTAGCTACAATAAACTGTACCTTACTAAATGTAAAAATAAATGTTAGAATTTGGAAATCAATTTTAACCTACTTCTATTATCGTATCGAAATTTTGTATGAATGACTAGTTACGCCCCACGGTGTTACCTGCTTGTCTCATCTATAGGGTTAAAAAGTACAAAAAGTAAAAGTAATAACTAATAACGAATAAAACGAAAAGTAATACTAAATTCGGCATCTTGGTGCGGACCTGATCTGATGATGGAGCCTTTGGTGGATAATGCATATCTTTTTTACTGTTTCTAATAATTTATTAATGGTACAGTACATTTACAATACGTACATACAATACAACGGTTAATGTAGTAACAACACCATGCACTGCGTCGTGCTTCTTTTGAAATATTATTTGGATAATATTTAATCCGCACTTTGTACTTAGCAAGTGAGGATTACTAAACGAAACTGCCTTTCTAACTTTCGCCTGTGTCTGTGTACATTTATTAGCTGTTAAATGGCTGGATTCCAGTCATTTTTTGTGTGGGTATGATGGAACCGGTTGCACCACACCCACAGTCGCTGAAGCGCTAATATACGACAAGACCGGTTGTAACACGCCCTCACTGGTTTCGACGCCAGTTTTTTAGTCTGATATAAAAAATAAAACTACGTATGAACTAATCAAAACCAATGACGGTCGAAAGAAACTTGTTCCGCTCTTGTGACACTCAAAGAATGAAGCCTTGGGAAAAGTAAATGACAAAGGTTACAAATAATTTCCTACTTTGGCACTCTTAATGTTCCTGTTTTAAGAGAACTTCCTGATATATTATATTTTTCATTTGTTGTTTAATAATAATAACAAATATTTTTTTTTTGCAAATACATCCCTTTACGTGTTACATTTACTGTGACAGCTACACTAGACAGAGCATGTGTCGTGGCTATCAAACAAACGATTTTCTTATGCCTAGGACTTAACTAATTATTTATACAAAAATATATAATAATATTTGTACATAATTACTGTTCTAGTTGTATGGCGGTGTATGTGCATGCATGTGTTGTGCGTGTGCGTATGTTTAAAAAGTAGTCACCCAAACACTAACCTAACCTTTGGAAGCTATCCGTCAGATTTATGGCGCATTGAGTAGGTAATAATTAGGGGACGGGACGGGACGTTAATATGAAATTTAGTGACATAAGACGGAAAAAACTAGTTTTTAACATCTGAGTGATAATTTTATACCATTTTCCTCTGAACATTTACCTAGTTTTGACATTAAATAAAGAGAAACTAATTTGACTTGACAGTCTAATACACCGAGAAACAGAACATGTAATTTATTTTAACTCATTGAAAAACAAAGAACTTAGTAAACCTCTTATTACAAAGAACCTGTCAAAACATATCAGATGTAGATAACAATACTTTTAAGAACATCAAATAGGATTTTGAGAAAAATTATTGACAGTTATTACTAATTCGAAATGATCTCTTATACTTACAGAGATCGCGTTATAAATTCAAATAAACCACAGCTGCTGCACAGTTAGGTGGCAACTTTCGTAATGCATCCAACTGTGCATTTATCTCGGAAGTTAGTCCGATTGTTGGCATTTATATTTTTAATTTTATATTTTTATTCTCTCAGGCCTATTCTGAAGAGCAGCGCCATAATATAGGAATGTTTGGGAAACAACGAAATTAAGTGCTCTGCAAAAGTATTTCACCAGTGTGGAGCCCGCTAAAAGGAATACATTATTATTGACCTCGGTATACTACATATTACCACTCTCTCCTTACCGTTCTTCGTCTTTTTTAATCCTCAAGGTTAAGCCCGAAGGTCAGACAAAGACCAGTACTTAGTTTTTTGAATGATAAATTTAAAGTAGAGGAAACGAAAGCAAAAAAATATTCAAAACAACTAGATATATCCTGTTATATCGCTTACATTGGCTGTTATTTCATAATACATATTATCTACACAGCTAGTCCAGGGGACAAACTCAATATCGGTAACTGACAAGTAGGTACAATTTAAAAAGTATTTAGACTCCTATCAGATTTGTGACATTGGCACATTCATTCAATTGAGAGCTATAAACCATCTAAACAGCAGCGTTTATTAGCTGTATATTGACGACAATTGCATGTCGTAAACAGAATTGTTTGATACGTTGTCACCATATGGGATCCAATCGATTTTTGGCATATACATACCCACATAGTCGGATAAGTACCAACATAACAACTCTGGAAGGAATTAACAATTGTATAAACACTGACTACTCAGTCAGCCTATAAACTGATGATTGATTTTTACGAAGTTATATCCCTCCTTATACATGTATCCTCGAGTCCCGTGGCCGTACATGGCGCTGATATAGAGATTGTGCAAGAAAACGTCTGTCTTGGCAAAACTATCTAACTCGGTCGGTCGGCTTCGGCCGATAGACGGAGGTCGTTTTGCGATTCTAATTGTCACTACTCAAGTTTTTTTTTGTAAACACTACAATAATTTGTACAATTTCAATAGATTGCGTCGAAGAACCTATATTGGCGAATTTCTTTTGCTCTGATATTGCCTGTTAGTAAGTGGAAGTTGTCACTTAATGATTTATGGGTGCAGGTTATTTTAGATGCAGATGACCGCGTCACTCCTAGGCCACTCTAGCCAGGAAATAAAAGTGATTCACAAAACACTCGACAACTGGAGCAAGTTAAGACGATAAATGCATTATTTGGAATTTTAGCGTCATTGCTTTCGTATTATCTCTGATAGAAATACTAACTATATTATTATAATATATGTATACTTACAGCGTCTGTGCTAAACAGTAACTGACGGTACTTGCGGCGGTTCTCCTCTGTATTCTCAACTCCGATATCCTGGAGACGCTTTCCCATAGTACCTACACAATAAATGCATTACTCAATTTTTTGTTACACTGTATACCAGAGGGGCTCATGGCTTAGTGGTAACTGAATAGGTTAGCAAATTACGAAGTTGAGCAATCTTTGCTAGGTCAGTCTCTAGATAGGTGACCATTGCCCCTCCATGCCACGGAGAGCTCGTTAAGCCGTCGGTCCTAGTTGCAATACCAACATCTGTGGCAATCGTCACGGGTAGTGGGTACTTGAATTTCAATATCGCCTAGTATTGTAGAGGTCTGATGGCAATCGCTCCACGTAAAAAAATTAAGTTTGGCAGTGTCGTAGTAGATTGAAAGCCGACCCCAACTTAGTTTGTGGAAAGGCTCGGAGGTTGTGAATGACACTGTACCCCAGACATCATCCATGGTTTTAGTTAAATCTGGAGAAAGTACTCTAAATTTCAACAACACTTTATCTGAAGCCGTTGGTGCTAAAGATGCCCTTTGGCGACCTTGAAAGGTCAACAAAGGTCCTGCAGTAGACTATTAAAGGCTGTTGATAACTTATATACATTGAATTTACTAATTAGTTTGAATGAATTTTCGCAAAGGTGCATATATACTGGACAAGCATTTTCTTAGAAATACTAGTATAAATAATAATAAAAAAGCATACCAGTTGACTCATCAGCAGCAAGGATACCTTTGCCAGGAACTACAATCGCCTGGGCGATTTTCTTTAGCTCCTCCTGCAGCTCGGGGGTTGGGTATTGGAAGTAGGTGCTCATAGTGGCTGTAACAATATTAAAAGGTAAATATGACTGATGATTTAGTGCCAGATAATGTCAATTTTGTCCTTATCGGATTTGTTAATTGTCACACCATAGTTTCATGTAGTTTATAATATTATTTCTCATTTAGAAATTGAAGGACTAATACAATAGTGAAGTATGAGTCTGATCAAGAATTAAATATTGCTTAATATCCCAAGATAAAAATGAGGTCAATGATAAAATATACAACTAAAATACAGTCAGCCTAATAATATAATTAGCCTATTATTGTAATAAAACAGAAATATCTTTATTCATTTGGGTAATAAAGTGGCAATCTAAATGACTAGAATATTACTTCTGCATAGCACACCAATCGACAGGTTGGGGGTTCTCCATTCCTTCCTTTTATTATATTTTTTGAATTTGCAGTATGCATTTTCGATAATTCGCTACCAGCTTCTGTCACTTTAAAATCGTCAGATCTTTCAATGGGAGCATTATGGCGTCCAAATAACTTATTCCCTAAATATCTGTACTGTATCCAAATAAATTATGGTGGGAAGTTTTTTTTTATTTCCTATCCTTACTTTTTTTAAAACCTGTAAAAGCTTTTCCCTATGCTTAAAGTGGAAACATTATGTGCCTTTAATTTATTTTATTACCTAATCTTTCAAATGCAATAGGTCCCCATGAGGCTCGAGTAAATTGCCATTTAGCATCATGGCCTGCCCTACTATAATTGTATTTACTGTTGTCTTATTTACTGCCGTCGGACCATAAGGATCTATGTGTAACTCTTGGTAAGAACTTGTAAGACATCTTTGATTGTATTTACCGTTTTCCTATTTACTTTGGTCCGACTGCACAGATCTATGTACAACTGTTATTAAAAACTTGGCAGACATCTTTAATTGTATTTACTGTTGTTGTTATTTATATAGCTTTTATAAAGGAAAACCACTACAATGTAAAAAGTTGTGTCAGCTTAGCTTACATTGCTCTTTTTAAAAATAACCCAGACAATGGTCCTTCATCATATATAAGGGTTGTATGTATATTAGAAAACAACCCAACAATAGAAAGAGATATGGATATAATTATATTAACAATCATTAGATATTATTGAACTTCGATTTGAACATATATTTGTTTTTTATTTATATTTGGACATCTGCAATGCACATATATTTATATTCTGACAGTGCACAAACTGCAGATAATATTATTGTTACATATTTTTGGCTCATATGCATCGGATGGATCGCTACAATTTTGTGTATATTTATGGTCTCGACTTTACACAGGTACAAAAATTTCATTCACGATGTACAAAATTTACATTGACCGGCCTATTGGTCTAGTGGTTAGTGACCCTGACTGCTATTACGGAGGTCATAGGTTTGATTCCCACCCAGGACGAGTCTGGGTGTAATTTATCTATAATATGTATGTATTTAGAAATATATAAGTATGTTTATCAGCAGGTTGTTTACCATAGCACAGGCTCTGCCTAGCCAAGTTGTTATTATTATTCATCATGTGGAAAAATAAAGTAGGTAGGTTACCCTCGGTATTGTTACTTATTAAAAAGAATATTTAGATAGAACTATTTACATAAAGGATACATACATAAAGTATTCATCTTAAAAATTGAAAAAACAAAAATCTTTCCGTTTTTGCAGACTTATTTCAGGTTTGATGTGTTAGATGTTTATGTTAGACTATAAATACAAATTAAAATTATGTGAAAACTGTATACATCACAGATGCCTACCCTTTGTTCCGAATCCTGGCATCCATCCTGATTCTGGAGGACCTTTCCCCTTTTTTTTGCCTTTGCCCCCCATTTTTAATTATTTAAAAAATTGCACTTACAAATTAATTATGTTAAAAATATAATACTCGACATTATAAAAAAATATCTTCTATCAAAAACTCACCATAATATAATCAACAAAATATGGCTTCCCAAACTTATTCTTTTGTTTTTGTCATATGTCAAAACAATTTGACGTTTTTGCCGGCAATTTTTTTTGCAAATTGAGAACAATAAGGTTTTAATTAGGTATGCAACTATTTATCGGTTTTAAATATCGATTTATGATACTTTAGAAGTCAAGTATGTCTATTTTCATGCCTTACTTGATTTCTGTATTCAAAAGTTTCACAGGTGAATGATAAAATAAATCATAAAATGTCATAACTGCCATAACCATAATATTTTCAATTGTTTTTTCTTGAGAATGCTCTTTTCAGTTACTTTTAATAATAGGTGTATTGGTACACTGTGTTACAAAAGTTTTGTATGTGTAGGTATAATTCAAATTTAGTAATGATAGTAGTTAGATGTATTAAATATCTAACTAGGATCTTGCTAGATTAATATCAAATAGGAATTTATTGAGAGACTACTCCTGACATCTAATTGAGACTATCTTTGTCAATGTTAAAGATTGTATTACAGTGACCTTGAAAGGTCAACACAAAGAAAATATTTTTAAATAAACTAAATTTTAGCTTTTTATATTATTATAGAAATTCATTAAAATTTTGACTGATGTCGAGTTGATCACCAATAACCAATATAAAAAAGAAACCATGCTTGCATCTGTAACAGAATATTCCTTATATGATAGAAACATGGATCAAGTTTTATTAATTAAATCAGGAGAAAGTATTCTTAGTAAGAACACTTTCGAATTATTAATAATTATTTTCTTGAAATAATTCACATTCTGAGAAAGATATGTGAAAATCTCAGATTTCTTTGAAGGTACAGAATCATAAACAATAATAATAAGCATGCGAATGACATTCTTGTTTTAATGTTAGATGTAATAAGTAGGGACTTTCCATAAAGTAATAAAATAGAGAAAGGTTATACAATTGTAATTAAAAAAGCTATTGTCGGTATTCTATGCAATACCAACCAACAAAAACTTTTTATAACTTTCTGAACATTTTAAAATGTAATTATGAAGGTAAATTCCATTTATAAATAAGAATTTACTTACATATTATTTGTTAAATTCTTCTGATAAAACACAGACACTCCCGAACTGCTACGTTGGTAGTACTGTCAAATAATAAGTCGCCGCGAGGAGAGGACACACACACAAAGGTCATTTGAAGGTCTACTGATAGTAAGCGTCAACTTTACCTACATTTGAAACGCCATCTTCTGAAAACTTAAAGAAATTCAAATTCTTTCTAATGGCTCTATTTTTAGTCGTTCCATAGTAACATTACAATAAAAGAGATGGCGCTGTAAACAATAACTTATTGTTAAATAATTATAAATACATAGTATGTTAACAATTCGAATTTCAAAAATCTAAATTCCTCCCTTCCAAACATTTTGATCTATATAAACTATGGTCCCGTCTTGATATACCTTAGTAACAGGTAGTATTTCGGCATTCCCTTCATAATAAAAATTATTGTCGTTGCTCCTCGCATTAAGTTTTGGAAAATGTTTATTAGGTACTATCAAGACTATCAAGTACACAGGAATACAGGCGTGTTTTAAAATTTATTTTTTGCTTATTATGTCTTATTATAATATTTTTTAAAGTTTCAACTTATGGCAAGGTTGGAGTTATAAATCTGTGCAGGCACATTTTTGTAAGCTTGAGTTAACATTGTGTACTTTTGATACCTAGGTAGCTTCTATTTTGCTAAGGCCGGCCCAGTTCCTTGGTCCAATGTATACAGCATACATTGCCAAGGAACTGGGCCAATGTGTACAGATCCACTAGGCGGTATGTTGTTATTTGGCCACATAGGGTTGGTCTTCCGTGCACACATCAAAGAATCTGCGCGGATGGCGTAGTGGTTTAACTGGTTAGGCGATCATCTAGCCGCTTCTTATTGCGTTGAGTGTTGTAAGTTTAATCCCCATATGGGTAAACACTGTGTGATCCATAAATATAATTGTTGTTCTGAGTCTGGTCTTTGTGTCCGTTTATTCGTTTATAAAATTAAAACTAAGTACTGATTTTTTATTTTATTTGGGAAACATTTCATTATGACTCATGATCATAATGTTAAAATGTATAAAACCTAAAAATGTGCTTAAAATGTTTTTTTTTTGCGTTTTCATTAGATTTAAAAAGAACGAACTGCACGATGTAGATGTAGAGTACATATATGTCGACCGTGATATAGATTATAGACCACGGAGCATGTGGACTCATAATAATCGTAGGTATGTTTATGTCTCAAGTTCGACGATAGGTAGGTAGGTACATTCGAAAAATGTAACTTTCCATATCATAATATAATATTAATAAGTTATGAATGTGGTTAGTTATTTTTTAAAGTGCTTATGACAATGACTATTAGTTTTCAATATTGAGATTTACATAGGAATGATCGCTGTCTGAAGTAACTTGTGGTTACAAGTACAACTCAGGCCATTAGGTATCTCTTTTAGGTAACTATTTAAAAAAAAAACTACTACAACTGCCTCCGTACGGCCATTCTTCCAATTGATTTTTCTATAATTGTTTAAATGGATTGAATCTTATTAATGTTAAGTACTTATTTACTGTTTTATTTATAACCAAGATTCAGCAAACATCTATGTATTTTTTGTAGGTATGCGTCATATGACGGAAACTATGCTAATATACTCTACACACAATACACAGATAGGTATACCCTGTGCCATATATGGTATGCGTTCAATACCCAGGGCCGCATTAACCATTAAGTTAGGGTTAGGGCCCCTCGCGATCAGAACAAAATTAAAAATGTTACAATTAGAAAATTTACAAACAGTATTTTAGGCTGCCATAAGTACTGGATCAGCAGTCGATCTTTAAATTCGCATTTTTTTTCTATTATAGGGAGAATTACTTGACGCTTACGAGATAAAAGAAAATGAAGGAACTAATAGTGCAAAATGATAAAAATTTGAAGAAGAAAAATAAAAAAGCGAAGAAAAAAAATGGATCACAATGACAGATCTGCAGAAGTTGTGTCCAGAGAAAAAGATTAAAACATATTTGCCTGTACTTCACATGCTGTATGCAGAAAGGCTTATCGGCTTAGTTTGGGTTCCTAACGGATTTCATGAAAAAGAACCAACGAGGAAATAAAGAGGTTTATAGAAAGTTTTGTGAACATTTTTCCGAGGACATTGAGCCTAAGTTTATAAACGAGATGGTGCAGATCAAGTACTTGTTACAATTAGAGGATTGCGATTGCGGGGAAAGATAAAATTGTACCTACCGAGGAATCGTTGAAACTAAGTTTTGATTATTTTCCAATATATAGATGTCTGATGATATTAAACGCAACGGGTGAACATAACTTTTCAAAATTGAAACTAATAAAAATTGTCCTTTGTTGTCAATGTCTCAGAACCATTTAAATTTACCGAATGACACCTGGATCATCACTTATATTATACAAATATATTTATACATATATATCTATTATCATTATTTGTTTTTATTATTATCACTTATCTATTATCTTATCTTACCTATTCATTAAGACCTACAGATGTAAGCTCAAATATACGACTTTTTACCGTAAGTTACTGAGGAGTTAGGCATCAATCAGTGATGCTGCTGATGCTATTATTCATAATCCTTCATCGACTTACAAAGAGTTGAATCTTCAAACGGGCGAAAAGGGGCCCAGAGAAATACATTGCCTAAGGGCCCCGACATGGTTAATCCGGCCCTGTAAATACCCCATACACCCATATGTATATTGCGTGTAAGATTTACGTAAAAATATCTGTATAGTAGGTAGGTAGGCATATGACTTATTTTGTAACGTTATAAATATTCTTACATATACTGATAAATAATATACAGAACTTGTTTTAATATCGGTCTTTATCACCAACCAGACAAAATATGATAACAGTCTCATATTCATTATGTATACTTATTACACGTTGTAAGTTGTGCGTACACTGACAAAACAGGTGATAAATAACTTTGATATTAATTTTTGAATAATTTATATCTAATGTATTTTATTTACATACTTTTTCTATAATTGCATGTTGTTTTTAATGAAGATCATTGTGTCTTTTATTTAACTTACGTGATATAAATATGTTGTAAATGTGTTGTATTATTATTTTCCGCCGAGAGAGGTTATAAGATTTATAAGTTGGATAACCCAATGATATATAATATGTCTTTGGGATAACCATGCTTCGGCACAGCTATGCTAGGCTTGTCAACAGAAAACAGGTCCAACCTCTCTTCGTTTAAGTACGAGGGGTACTTCTGTTTCTTTATTTGCAGGTGGCCATGGGCGGCGGTAGACGCTTACCATAAAAAACATAAAAAAGCGTTTAAGATGATCATAGACTTCTTTGGACTATTCAAGTCACAGAAGCCGTTTCATTTCGAAGCCGTTTCGTTATTCAACATCGAGTTTGAAGTTTTTAACCTTGTGTCGTTTATGGTCACTGTAGTTCCAAGTACTCTCACAAGATGTCTCTATTTCAAAGTTATTTTTCATCTTCTGTAAAATAATTGTGATTTGTGATAATTAATTAATTGAGCAGAAAACCTCGAATTTGAATCTTATATCAACTTTGAACAACATAAATCGAGCTATAAAATTTCCAGTATAAAAATTAAACTAGCATTGATAGACTTTCTGTACCGTCACTGGTCAAATATGTACTTAAACATAATTGTTTAGATACGTTATATAATACATATGTGAAAAAAAATATATTTTATTTAAAACACATATTTTAAAATAATTCTAGCTTTCCTCACTTCTCTACAAGTACTCGTATATTAAAATTTCACATACTTGTTACAAATTTTACATCCCTTTTCCTTTCTCCTTCTGTTAAATCAGTTTGTAAAAATATGTATACAGAGAATTTCTTACTTACGTATCAATATTTAGATGTTAGGATAAATAATACATTAATTATCTTAAACAAAATTGTATAAGCGTACAATGTTACATGGCCCACTCATTTACAAACATTATGCATTGTAATCGTAGCTACTTAATAAAAGTTGAAATTTATATTATGTGAAATATTGATTATACCTTTTATTTTTATTATATTAAATTTTACCTTAAATTCTTCTTTCAATGTATTGGCAAATATATAAAAACTTAAAAATAATAATTTAACAAAATAATTACACTTTTCAAGGATAATGTCACCTACGTACTTCTCATACCCTGATCCTACAGCCCAGGCGGAGTTAAAGGCCACCGCTGAGGCTATTGTGGCACCAGGGAAGGGTATCCTTGCTGTCGATGAGACTAATGGTAAACAGATTATTGTTAAATATTTTTAAATGGCACCAAACATTTGTATTTAAAGCTTTCAAAAGTACTGGTTAAGGCCGCTCCCCCAAGTTAGGTACCCTTAGCGTTGTTGTGACGAACCATGAAGGAGGCCTATGTCCAGCAGTGGATATCTTCCGGCTGAGACGATGATGATATAAATGCACTTACAAACAGAATTAAATGTAATCGTAAAAATAAATATATAAGTTAAGTTTGGTCAGCTAGTTAAGAATGACGTACATACTGTGTTTTCATTGCTAAAAGGCATTACAACAGAAACTTTCAAACAATCTTTTTGATTTTAGAGGGCATCGGGAATCTCCTTGCTAAAATCGGCTTAGAAAATACAGTAAATAACAGAAGGAGATATCGCCAGCTTCTATTTACCACTGAAGTAAGTTTAATGCCACTTATTTTTGACCTTTGGGAGCTTCTACGGAGGGTCAAACATGCCATGACTCACACAATACCGGTGTTAAGCAATTATTTCGTAGTATAATAAATAACATAAAGCAATTAACAATGATAATATTAACGTAACAACATAAAGTTTAGGGTAGAATACAAAAATAAAATATTGACGAGCGGTCGAACATTTTATACCCGAGCAAACAAAGTGTAACAGGTTTCGCCAATGATATATAAACAAATGTCATTGGGTTACGCACAGGGATATATACGCGCAATATACTCCCGTATATATGGTTCTTTCACCGTAAACATTCACTGCACGACCTTTTATTTATTTTTTTGACGAGTTATGGGTTTATGGGCTTTTTCATTCTATACAGAGCCATTAAAAAAGTGTTAAATTAACGGTATATTCCATTCAGGAGCTAAGAAGATTTCAGCACGCTAGGTCCCATCAGCAATATTTCTAAACGAACACAACTAATCGACGAATATATTTTGTTTGACTGGTCCTATTCTTAACTAAGTACTTTTTTAAAACATAGTTTTATAAATTTTATTTTTCAGTAGTGATGCAAACAGCGTACATATAAAACAATTCTTATTACAGACGTTAAACGAACACATATCAGCAGTCATTTTATTTGATGAAACTGTATACCAGAAGACAGATGATGGAACGCCATTTATGGAATTGCTGAAGCAAAAGAACATAATTCCGGGAATCAAATTGGATAAAGACGTCGTACCCTTGTTCTTGTCACTTGATGAGGTGACTACTCAAGGTCTGTTGTTTTAATACAAATCTGCGACGAGGAACCTTCTAGTTTTTTACAACTTACAAATAAAATAGTGACTTTATTACTTTCGTTGATGAAATACAAGGTTTGGCTTTTAATTCTACGCATATTTTAAGATTACTGCGACTGGCCACTACTCGTAAGTGATCAAGCCAGAAATACAATACGATTGAAGATTACTGACATTACTGACAAAGGGTAATAATCACATCATCATCATCAAGCCTTTAATAGTCCACTGCTGGACATAGGCCTCTCCTTAGGGTTGGGCTCTTACGACACCCAGGGGATGAATAGGGGTGGTGACACTCTGTATTTTTAATATGTCACCACATGGATCGACAAAGAGTAAACTGGCTCGTAACTCCTAAGTTGCAGGCGTTTATGGGCGTCGGTAGTCACTTTCCATCAGTTGACCCGTCTTCTCGTTTGTCCCCGTAACATAAAAAAAGAGTAATCAACCTCACAGAACTTTTCCATTTAGTACCTAATTGCTGGAATCAAAATGGACATTCTTAAGCATACAACACTAGAATAAAACTGAATTCTGTAATTTTTTTTCACCGTCTAGGTAGGTCTAGTAGTTATTCAATACCCTATTTTCCTTATTAATACCTTATTATTATAATTGTAGGTTTAGATGACCTGGGGAAGCGCTGCGCAGAATACAAGAAGCTAGGTTGTCGATTTGCAAAATGGCGTTGTCCTCTCAAGATTGGAACTCACACTCCGTCTGTACAGGCCCTCAACGACATGGCACAGGTACTGGCGAGATACGCAGCCGTTTGCCAGAGTGAAGGTCTAGTGCCCATTGTAGAACCTGACGTTTTGTTAGATGGTGAGTACGCTGTCACATGTGCTGTAATAGGATCAGGTCGCCGCACCTAATTAGGCCCTATGCCGGGAGACAGGAAAAACCCCACTAGTTTTATTTTTTTCCCTTTTCTTCATTTCCGACTCCATCCTTTAAAAACAATGTTGTTGTAATTGGCTACGTAAGCTTCTAGTTTTATACTCCGGAGAATAAAGATTGCCTTTAAAGATCTTCTTCCAAAGATTCTGATTCTTCAAAAGAGAGTTATTTTTTAATTGTAACTAGTATAGCGTCTGGTCGAACCATTTCAGGCGTTTTTATATTATGATGTAGCCTTTTACTTATTACAGATAAGTCCGACCATATATTTCATCACTATCGTTACGACATCCATGTATATTAAGCTCATGTCAGTTATGATAATAAAATGTATTTTTTAGAAGTATTATTTATAATATTAGCCTACAGTTATTAATTCATTTAGGGAAAAAGTACTAATACCTTTATTCATATATTCATATAAATATGAGTTTTCTATAATTTATATTTTTCCTAATTAATGTACCTACCTGTATAATTATATATTAATGATCTTTGTAATTCAATTCCCTGTATTAAAATAAGCTAGGAACACACATCCTTCTTATAATGACATGTTTAATGAAGCAATATTATTTTACATGATTTATTTTGTCACATTTTGACATGTCTCGGAACACAAAGCAGATTTCCACTAGCTAAATTTTAAGAATAATAATAATAATCTTTATTGTTATAAATAACCTTTAACAGTTTTCTTATATACATATACACATAAACGTACAAGCATCTTAACATTTAAAGGTCACACCAATAGAGTAACCCTAACTCCCAAACTAGGTGTTCCTGTGACGTGGGAGTTAGTGTTCTGCTGTTATAGAGACAGATTGTTGGCTTAGAGGTTAGAAATATAATGCGGTGTGTGTGTGTGTGTGTGTGTGTATGTGTGCGGGGGCGTGTGTGTGTACGTGTGCGTGTATGCGAGCATGCGTAGGTAGGTGTGGGCATATGCTTACTGCTGGAGTTGAAGTAGTCCTTCAGTTTGTACATAGTATAGGGTTTTTAAAAATGCCATTGTTTTATTTTTCACTTCGCGAGGAGTTAAGTCACTAATAGGAATAGCTTTATACCTATATTTTTTTGTAAATAAAAGTACTATTGACATAAAATTGTCGATCGGCGAATGCAGTTTTGTGGTTTTTCACACTGCATAAAACTCTTCTTGTACGCTTTGTGTGATCTGGAGGGGGAACTTGAGTATGTTTTTTAAGGGTTGCTTGGAGCACAAATAGTTTTCTGACTAAGATAAATTTGCTATCTGCATATAATAAATGAGTCGGATACCGAAATGGTTTACCAAGTATTACCTTCAGGACCGCTCTTTGTGCTCTCTCTATTTGAATGAACTTGGTTTTTGAGGCTCCACCCCACACTGGTATGCAGTAAGTGATAACGGAATGGCAGATCGCTAGGTATATCATTCTCATAGTATCCATATCTGCGCAGTATCTAAGAGATTTGAAAATATATACAAGTTTCCTAATTTTTAAAACGGTACTGTCAATATGATCGTACCATTTCAATCCGCTATCAATCACTACACTCAGATACTTTATATGATTTACACAGATAAGTGCCTCACACGAGCAGTGGACAGGATCAGAGCATGTATGAACCCTTATAGACAGAGACCGTATCAAATGCTTTTTTCAGATCAATAAAAATACCAAGGCATTTTTGTTTTGCGTCTAATTTTCTTGCTACATGCTCTGTTAGATCTAAGACTGCATCTTGAGTAGAAACCTCTTTTTTAAATCCATATTGATTGGGAGCTATAATAAATAAATTATAGAATATTAAAGAAATTATACATAAACTCCAAAGACAAAATATATGATACAAAATAATATTGTTTCATAGCTATTTTTTATAGTAAGGTTGGGTGATAGAACAAAGCACACAAAACACATACTAATAAATACAAGTATTTCAATGACACGAACGTAACCATTAAACTGATGCATCCTTTGACAAATTACCGTCAATCACAGTAGTTGTAGAACCGAACCACAAATAATAATTCATGCAAGTCTATAGATTCTGGTATCTCATTAAATTAGGCAATGCTAATATTTAATTACAATTAAACATAATGTTTAAAAAATTGACTTTTAACTTGTCTTATCTCAATATTTTCAAAGATATTTTATAAAAACTTCTTTATCAGGGGACCATGACATTGTGAGAGCACAGAAGGTGACTGAAGTTGCTTTGGCAACCTTATACAAAGCACTGAATGATCACCACGTGTACTTAGAAGGAACCTTGCTGAAGCCGAACATGGTTAAGTATTGAATTTAAAAATTATTTTATATCATATGTCATAAGCTCGAGATAGAACTAGACTGCTACAACGAGCACTTAGAGTGCGCTCCAAATTTGAATATGTAGAAACCGTTTCTAGTTATCATTCTTAAATCATCTTACTTTAACTAATCATGTATAAATCAAACACCAGGGGAATCCATTGCCCTAGAAATATGAAACTTGGTAAGAAGGAAGAATTCACAGTTTTTTAATTATTGTTACAACAGTTTTTTTGAATATACAGTTTTTTTAGTACTCCACAAAGTTAAGTTTGTCTTAAAAACTAGGCAAAATTGGAAAAACGAGACATTAATGAAATGGGCATAGGCAAGTTGTATGACATCCACGGTGCGCGGGTCAGACTTCTACTTGTTCCGTTTTTTTATTATTTTATCAACTCTAACTCATCATGGGTCGCAAGTTCGGTTTCTTATTTACTTTAGTCTGACATATATATACTCGTATATCTAATGAACAAGTATATTGTATTCGTATTCTAAGAACCATAGTATACTAATTTCGGTGCAAATATATGAATAAACTGAAAAAACCATTAACAGAACTAAGTGATTAAAGAAAACTCTAAAATTCACTCTTAACTACTACTTTTTAATGAGAACTAAAAATTTTAAACACTGTATTTTAAATTTCATCGGTCTTCTCTTCGTATCTAATTCTTTATTTTTTCAAGCGTTATCTGATCGTGACGTCGCGTAATCAATATTTATATTCCATTAGTCGTACAATCGCTACTGTTATTTTTCTCTCTAGTATTTTTTTAGTCATTACTTTTGCTGTAGTGCCGTAAGTCTGTACTAAGAAAGGGAAAATTTTAATAATCAACCCTTAGAGAACGAAATTGAGTTTTGATCCCTTTCTGTCCTCGTAGAGCTTTTATTTCTTATGTGTCCCAAGTTCGTAGCTATCTATCATAAATTACGTCATACAAATTTCATGATATTTTATCCCCTCTCGTCTTTGTCACATCTTCAACTAACCATAGACTATACAGCATTTGTGTGGATTGTGGATGTGTATTAAACAAACCTTTCGTTCTTCCTGGCTGCAATTTTTTGTGTAAAAATCTTCTTAAGGGTCAAAATCTATTGCTGTTTATGTGTTAGTTTGGATATGTGTGTATAGTAGCTTTGCATGATAAAAACTGTAGACCATGAGTGTCAAAAAACCGTTTAAACAAATAGCTATCATAAGAAACTTGCTCCAAACGTGCCTTTGATGCTACTTGGAGCACCAGAGATAGTTAATACCCTGCGATACTGGTCGCGACTTATACGGTGGTCTCATTCTGGAGTGGTTTCATTTATTTCATATATTTGTCTTATTTGGCTCAAAATAAAGCGGACATTCGACAGTACGGAAAATCGAACTGCGAGTGCTTAATGTCCCACAATTCACTGAGAACTGGTCGACTAAACTATATAAAGATTATACATTTAGCACCAAGATAGATTTTTCAATATACATTTTTCATATCTGTATAGTTACGGATTAAGAATACGGAGTATTACCAACCCTATTCATCCCGAGGATGTCGTTAGAGCCGACTAATTAAGCAAACTACGCATCACAACAGCACTGTAAAAAGAAGGAAAACCTGTCTGGCTAGCGTGGTATAGTAGGCCAAAACCTCCTTATTAAAGAAAGGTATCGGTATCGGACTATGATAGGCTGTTGATGATGATGTGATTTTCCAAGTTTCTATTTACATTTTTTTTATGTTATAATATTTTAGATTTTTACATTTGAACTCACGTAGTTTATAACTCATCATGCGTTGTCAGATAATTTTACACTTCGACTCTCTTGATCCAAATAAGATCACGTAATTTATGGATGGTCCCGATGCAAAACAAGCAATTTTAATTTAATACTTGTCATTTGCTAGTGGCAGTAATTGGGGTCCACGTCAGGGTGAAAAGCTGGCAAGTAACCGGTCAAAGCTCATCATTAAGTACTTTAAAGTTCGATGTTTCGTCCAGTTACTTACATACGAACAAAATCAATGTAGGATTTTCTATTATTAAGTGATCCTTGTATTGAATTATTACTTATATTACTTTTTTGATTAAAATGATTATGTAGGTAGTAAATACTAGTAAAAAACGGCTTGAGGGGTTTATGGACCCCCTGTTGGAACAAAGTTCCTTTCGCTTTTTGGTAGACGTTTGCTTTACAGTGATTATAATTTATATTGTAAAATATCAAGTTCATATAGTTAAATTGGAAAATTTTAAATAAAATTTATTTATTATGTATAAAATAAATAATGATAAATTTAACACTGAATGATCTCTGGGATAATTAAGTTAATTACAAAAAGCAGAAAAGAAGAGCCTTTCGGCGCGCGGGAGAGCTGTGTGTGGCGATGAACTCGTACATAATTCATACACGTACAATATGTTTATTGGAACGAAGTTCCTTATCGCGCGTCACAAGCTCTGAGCGGATGGGAGCTAACACTTCGTTCCGACCGGTGGTGCATAGACCCTTCAAGCCGTTTCTTACCATATTTCCAGAATATAAAAATCTTTTTGGAGCGTAGTAAAAAGTATCTATGCATAATATTCGTGAATTGTTTTATTTCAGGTGACACCAGGACAGGGAAGCCTGAAGAAAAATTCGCCTCAAGAAATCGCTCTTGCAACAGTTACAGCTTTACGTAGGACTGTTCCACCTGCTATGCCAGGTATACAATTTTTTCACTCGAAAGTCCGAAAGACCTCAGCCAAAGTCGTTTTTCCAATTCAATTTGAGGTCATCACATTGTTATTTAAAATTAATTCTTTCTAAATATAAACATATGTACTCGTACACTTCTTCCTCCGCCTTTTTGTTCCAAGCTAGGTTGGAGTCGGCTTTAAGTCTACGATGATATGGTGGAACTTCGTTTTTTTACGCGAAGCGGCTGCCATGAAACCTACAGAACGTAGGCGATATCGAGGTTCTGTAGAAAGACTATTGTCATCTCCTATCCATTACCATATAACACAAAGGCGTCTCAATGTGTTAAATGGTCACCCATCCATAGACTGACCTGGCTAGGATAGCTTAACTTGCAATATGTTAACCTACTCGTATACCACTTAGCCACGAGCCCCTATTAATACATGTACACGTAAATCATTATATTTCGTTACCAGGTGTGGCCTTCCTCTCCGGTGGACTGTCTGAGGAACAAGCCACAGTGTACTTGAATGCAATCAATCAGGTCCAGCTGTATGCACCGTGGCGGTTGACATTCAGTTATGGCAGAGCACTTCAGGCTTCAGTATGGACTACCTGGGCCGGTAAAGACGAGAATGTGAAGAAGGCACAGTCAGAATTGCTGAAGAGGACCAAGGTATATGTTTATTTTTATCAATTTTCATTTTTTCTCCACTCTAATTTTCACCACGTATTAATTTTTTATTAATTTAATTTTCCTTAAAAAAATATTTGTGTGAGTACCTATTAAAATTGTAGGGCAGACTTATTTCTTAGCGTTCCATGGATTCACCGTGCGGGTTCCTGGTCCATCGCGTGATAGACAGGGGTAATGTGACTTCGACAGCGCCTGGGAATTGCGACCCAGGGACAGGTTTAGGGAGCTACGCTAAGCTGCGCGCTACGTGTCTTTTGTTGAGCCTTCCTTTACAAACTCGATGTTAGTTCTTATGTTTGTTTTTATTCCTTTTTTCGCGCTCGCCAGTGATAAACTCATAGCTTCGCGTATGGTTTGTAATACCCTATCATGGCGACGTAAATAATGACACCGGTCGAATAACGCCTTATAGTATAAAACATAGTAAGTAGTAAAATAGAAACAAAATAAATAAATATGCAACGAAGACGCAAATAATATTCAAAATATAAATTGTGGGACGTATGAGAAACAAACCAAACAAATGTGAAGTTTCCTAATTAATTAGGTTTTGGTTGCTTCGCCTGTAAAAGTTATTTTCGTAATCCTCGGGTACATTTTACTCTAGGCAAATTAAGCATACTCTTAAATGCGTTAAAAGAAACAAGAAAACAAAAATTCTCATTAATTAAGTTATAAAACTTACTACGTATATATTATTTCTGTTCTTTTAGGCCAACGGCTTGGCTTCTCTGGGGAAATACGAAGACGGTAGTGTATCAACAGCTGCCGGAAAGAAGTCCAACTACAACGCGAATCATAAATATTGAACTGTTTTGTTGCGAAAACACACAGGCCTGACATACTTTTTCGCCAAATAAAGATTTGTCACCAAATATTTAATTTTTATTTCGTTTCTTATTTACTAACTTTTGCAGGCGGCTCCGCCCGCGTTTATGTCGGTTATCGCGGTAAAAAGCAGCCTATGGTACTCGCCGATAATGTACGAGTAGCTTTCCATTGGTGAAAGGACCGATTAAAAAAATCGGTTCAGGGGTTTAGAAGTGAAAGCGTAACAAACAAACAAACGAAGAAAGAAGAAACTCACTTTCACATTTATAATATAAGTATGAAATAATGGATTTGGTATATAAATTCTTTTGCTAGATTAATTATATGCATATATTATGCGTATAAATAATCGAGCAAAGTAAGGATAATTAACTTAGACACATTAAAGTCGGTTTTACTTGTATAAAACCGACTTTAATGTGTCTACATCGTGAATCGTGATGAATTGTAACAGAATATTCTTCATTATAGGATAGATATATCCTTAGGGGTGAGACTTTTCCTTCAAATTTGAATGGTACTAAGTGAGAACTATTCTAGAAGAAAAAAAGTAATTAAATATAAAAATAATTTTATAAATCAATGAATAAATGGTGAAGTTTTGTTGTGTTTGTTACAATCATAAAAAGAAACGTCGTTCGAATTTAGAAAAAGCCCAATTTTAAAAAAAACATCAATTCAATTAGATACTCTTACGATTAAGTAAATACTCGTACTGTTACAAACTCTCTAGAAATTGTCTGTCATTCTATTTTCGGGAAGCTAAAATTTGTTTTGTTTTACTATTTATTTGTAACAATTATATAAATACATTGTAATATTCTTATCGTGGTAAGCGTAATACATTAAATATGTATGTGGATATTCGCTTGGGATCCTGTGAAGCTAAATTTGACAAAGTGTTTTTAAATTGAACACAGAGGGACGAGAAACTGGGTTGAAAATCTACTTTTGCTCTACTTTCATGAGTAAGTTATAAGTACAATTACTATAATAGTATTGATTTTTTGGTTATGATTTGAGATATCTATTGAAACTGCCTGAAATATGGCATATTGGATTGGACAACTTCTTGCTATTCTTTTAAAACTCTTAAAAGAATAGCAAGAAGTTGTGTATAATATAAACAGGTAAGGTAAACAGTTGATACCTTAATTGATTGAAAATATACAAATAAATATAATTGTTACTAAAGTTGAGTATTTATTTGACACAAATAACTAATAAAATGAGATTAAAATATCTTAAAAAGATAAGCAGACAACTCATAACAGATCTTGATGACTCGATAACGATTTGTAAGATACCAATTTATATAGTATATAGAAGAACATTTTAGAGTTAATCCTGTTAGTATCAAAGCATAGGATATCAAAGCATATGATCGTATCTTAAATCTCATAATTTCACTCAATTATGGACCAGACAGAAGACCAGTTTTGAATTCTTACTTCTTGCATTCTAATCTCTGTCTCTCTCATTTTATGACTTAAAGGACACAAATTTAATATATCATTGTTGTATCAGATTAATGATGTAGATTTTCTGCGGTTGGGTGACTCAAAGTCTATGCAGACAGTAAGAAAAATTTGCGTGCCTGTAGTTCGTACTGTCTAACCTTTAAAAATCAAATACAATTTTTAACCTTCTGAAAAACACAACTGCTATATTATTTACAAAGAACCTCGGAACAGTTCTTGATCTCAAGTGATTCACCTCGAAATTGCTGAAATATTAAGCTAACCTGTAAATGAAGTACACGCGAATATTTACATCAACACATTAAAATATATACATGAAATATTAATCATATTCACAACAATGGTTTTAAAATGAAAATGAAATGTTATCAGTAAATAATTTTCCCTTTTTTATACCACACGGCAAATAGGCGTGACCGTGATAGGCGCATGGTCAATAACGGCTTCAAGGGACTCGCTGGTATATTGCCAACCCCAATAAAACCTACACACTTCTTATTGAAAGAAACCTATACTACCTATACCGTTCTTCAAGAAATTCTATAGCCGCGGTGTACCCCGAAGAAAGTAATTCTGGAAAGGAAATTCAGTTGATAATTGAATTTTTTCTTTGAACCAATTTCATTTTTACCAATTTTTTTAAATTGACTGAGCTTTCATTGGCGTTATTTTCAGTTAAATGTCCCACCGTTAAAAATATAGTTTTGAATTTAGCTACCAAAGAAACTACATTTAATCTATACTAATATTATAAAGCTGAAGAGTTTGTTTGTTTGTTTGTTTGTTTGTTTATTTGAACGCGCTAATCTCAGGAACTACTGGTCCGATTTGAAAAATTCTTTCAGTGTTAGATAGCCCATTTATCGAAGAAGGCTATAGGCTATATATCATCACGCTAAGACCAATAGGAACGGAGCACCAATGAAGAATGTTTCAAAAACGGAGAAAATGTATTACTATTGAGAGACGCAGACGAAGTTGCGCGGGTCAGCTAGTATTTAATAATTCTTATAGTGTATGTCGGCGCTAAGTTAGAGTTACCACTTTCGGAGGCCATATCAATAAAGTACAAACTTATAATCACTTGTTTATTCTTGTACAGTCGCTAGTCTAATGTGTCGTTTCACTATGTAATATCCCTGTATTTATAATTTCTACAACGGTTATAGCAACTACAGTATCTTTTATCGACAAATAAATTACAAGATTACAAAGTAATTCTTAAATATAGCTCACTATTCAAGGTAAACATATTAGTGAATTTAACATATCTTTAGCCGACTTATTTTACAAAAATGACTAAGAAATCGTAATAATAAGACACGTGTCTTATTATGACGATTTCTGTGAAAATTACCGCCAGCAAATGACGCTGCAACCACATTTCAATTGAAGTCAAGTTTTATTTAACATATAAAACCAACTCAATAAACTATAATAATTAAAATAGGCTTTATTCAGAACACTACACAATAATTTGCGTAATTTAAACCTTTTGAATGAGTAATTTACTAATCAAATTACTTTAAACAATTAAAACTGTATCTATTGCAACTACAAGTTACAAATATTTCTAATAACATACTTAGAGATAAAATCATTTTTTTAAAGTTTCGCTTCCACATGCACGTGTTAAACAATACAGTGAATGTGATTATACCTAAATATAAACTTTTTATATTTCGCTATTGTTCGTTAAATCCAAAATCCACCGAATAATTAACAACAATAGGGACAATCGTTTTAATTCTCCGGAGGCCGTTGAATTAATTATTATGTCCGACTACCGGTCGGGACAGTGCCAGGCCGGGCTATTTGTGGCCTGAAATGTATGGTTGGACTGATTTAAATTGTGGGGTAACTTACCTTATACAATGAATTGCTGTGATATTTCTTTTACGAATTGAAGATTTTAATTAAAGTTGAAACGCAGGGATTTATTAATTTGAAATTAAATTTAGGTTATGGCGTGCTTAATTATCAGAGTTCGTGATTTAACGGTTTAATTAAGAAAGAACGATACCTTCTGATAAGTGCTTATTTTTAATATTATTTATTTATTTATTTATTTATTTACATCTTCATGCACTTATGTACATTGGCGGACTTAATGCCCTGGGCATTCTCTACCAGCCAACCTTTAGGTGGTGTAGAATTCTTGTAAGTAATATTGTAAAAGAGTACCGATGATTGTGAAAGTTTTCATACACGTCATGTCATGGATTACAGAAGAGGATCTCATGGAGTAGCAGAACAACTTTTATGCGAACGAATCCGATCATAACAATGTTCTTTTTAAGTTATAACATATAAGGGAAATTAATGTCAAACATTCTAGACATTAAATACCTACCAATAAAATGAATTGATTGACATTTTATTTTATTTAATTAATTAATTTTAACTTACAACACTATCATCCCATTATGTTTATGTTTTGACATTAATTAGCCAAATAATTAAATCAAATCAAATGTTAACGATCATAATAATCATATTATGATCGTTAACATTTTGTTTCAAAGATTGGTATGTTTACATACCATTGTTATGCGAGACTGTGATGGACCCATGCAATATTCTTATCACCATTATGTTACCACATTTCTGGTAAATAAATTTATCTCCTAGTCCGTGTGGTGACGGATTAAGAATACGGAGTGTCCCCACTCCTATTCATCCCGTGGGTGTCGTAAGAGCCGACTAATGGTATAGTAGGCCAAAGCCTCCTTTCTAAGGAGAGGCCTATGTCCAGCAGTTAACTATTAATTTATACATATCAATATATATGAATTTATACGTCGTAGTACAAAACGAACTGAAGTTCTCTCTTACCTTGTTAATGTTGTTTAGAAGTGTTAAAAATGGGCAGTTAAGTGGCTTCTTCGCGAGTACAGATCCTTAGTTGACAATGATCTAATGAAGTAAGAGATAATGATCTCCAAATGAACTGTAACTTTGAGAAATCTTGAGCTATCAAGGCATCAGTATCTTTTAACAGACCTCGAGGGATTTTCTATGACCATTATTTACGATAAAAAAATGAGACGGAGAAAAGAACCATTCGTTAAAATAAATCACCATGACTGTAGTCTTTCTTTTTTATAGTTAAAAATTAAAATATACGAGAAACAAGCCGTTTTGTAGTCAAAATTAATAAGTAAAAGTAATGATAAGTAATTTTATTTTACTCAAAATATAATAAACCTTGACTCTACAACATCTAGTAGGGGACCGATATTACTTTGGATATCTTTGGCATCACTCCACATACAAGAACAAAAATTAGAATTTGACGATCAACCATCAAGAATAAAGAGATACAAAAAGAGTAGACGAATACAGAAGATACAAAACGATCAATAATAAATGTGTAAAAAATACTTATCAAACTATGTTTTTCATCCTCACTTTCGCCTTGTACCAAAATCAAGTCGGAAAAGTTCGCCAATTGTTTAAAACTTTTGCATTACAATTTCTTGTAGTTCAAGAATCAA